ACACAAAACGACGGTGACTGATGCCACTGMGGCTCAGGACACATAAACGTGCGCACATTTCCCAAAAGAGCTGTCGCCAGGTAAATATAACTGTATCCTCATCGTTCAGCATGAGTATAGCTTTGTTTGGACAGAAAGAATAATTTAGGGGGGRAAAATTGCTAAATTTAGTGTGGCATAAATAAGGTTAAGCTAAAAATAGTTTGGACAAAAGAGGAAATATAATAGATTTTTTTTGTCTCGAAGAGAAGGCCTTATGTGAATAAATATAAATCATGACAATGATCCTTTAACTGTCCCGTGGACCTCTGGTCAGTAAATAACCTGAGAGATAGCTGATAGCAGGGAATTCGAGCCAAGGTAGGACTGTGTAATGGGGATGGATAGGAGGCTGAGGCTTGGGTCACAGTTGCTCAGGAATCAATGCAGAGGTACAGGTGTACCAACACAGGTCTATAAGAGGAAGAAAACCTTTAAAAAGAAAGGCAGAGGAAGGGGGGACTGAAGGTGTGGGGGTCACAYCACGTTCATTCATTTCCATTATCACAATTAAAAATCCCCACTCAGGTGGCTACTGKTTTTTAATTTGCAAAAGGAAGCAGATGAGAGGAAGACAAATGTGGCGAACCGAGCGCAGTGATCTCGCTGCCAAGGCGAGCCGCGTCTCGCCTCCCAGCCCCGGCGCAGTGGAGCTTCAAGGCTGCTCACCAAACCAGACGCTGTGATATTTCATGCATAAATAAATTCACGTGTGTGGTTTCCATGTTCATGTGCATTAAGGGCGAAATTAAAGAGCTCAAATGTAATTTTTTTTTCTAATTAAATAATATCCCACCATTACTAATAAAAATGTCACATTTCCTGGGAAGAAATAAGCGCTGAAGAAAATGGAAACAGCCTTGACACTTGGWTTAAAACACTATTGATGCTATTAAAATGCTAAGTGGGTCCAACCAATTGGCATAACCACATTTCACTTCAGGAATGTCAACGGAGAGCAGGAGATGTAGCAATTACTATTAGGGTACCGTTAATTACGGTCGCTGCATATTTAATACACAGCAGAGTAAAACAAAGGTTATGTTAATATGGGTTTATTAAGTATTCACACAATAAAAAAAATGTCTGTGTTGCTACTACGAAAGCTGGTCCTGAGAAAACATGTTGCTTTTTTCTTCAGAGATTTCTATTTATTACATACTTCACATCAAATGTTAAACGTGGATTATCTGTTTTATTCTCAAGTTTTTAATTAAGTCAGGAAAAAAGCGCATGTGAAGGAATTTAACATGTTAAGGCTTTGAAGCCTGAACAGCAACAACCAAGGAACTCCTGTGCCCTCTTGTGGCCGAACTGTGAATTACATCTTTTTAATTCAGTCACTGAATTATCAGCTGTCTGATTATTTTAGGTTTGCCAACATGTGCTTTCATCTTCTTTCTTTGAAATAATATGCTTAAAAGTTAGAAATGTATGTTTTATGAACTTAGAAATTTAAGTCTGGTATAAATTTACAAAATTGCTTAAGAAACATGAGGCTTTGCTGGCTTTTTGGGGATTTTCAGATATGCTGATGTTTAAAAAAAATGTAGAGAATAAACAAAAACAAATAATTCTAACAGGGAATCCTGTTCTCAACACATTCATGGAGACAATTACAACAAAAAAACACAAACAGGAACTATCGGTGTAAAACAAAGTGTGTGTTGACAGTGTGTGTAGATGCAATTAAAACGAGCGTCTGAAATGTGACGCAGCGAAACAAACGGCAAAATAATTATAAAACTTAGAGACCTGACAGATTCAACTGAGTGAATCGTGAAACAAAAACTTTTCACGTTTGTAGCGTCTTTCTGAAGCAAGACCCACTCGARGTGAACAGTCCTGAACGTTTGTGACAAATTTCAGCATTTACCTTTTTTTTCCCATAACTGTTGCAAGTTTTAAAACCAAGTGCTAAAAAAAAGTGTCGTTACTATAATACATTTTTACGACTCAGCACTTACAAGAAAACTGAGAAGAAGTCAAAGCCTACTGTATCAGGGCAGAAAGTCAAGTTTTGGGACCTCGGTGGGGGAAAAGTACATGATTGTAGCAAAGTTTTATGATTCTTACGTTTGTGCTGCACAAACACATTAAAGAAAAGATAATAAATACAGTTATAGTCAAAATGAACCACTTACTGATCATGTTAYGCAAGTCAGGTTTTGTTCTTTCAACTCCTCAACAATTCCCTATTTTAAATAACGTGTTTAAATATACACCATCATTTTTAATGGGTTTATCTAAATGCTATTGTTTTTTCCTCTTTGACTAAACAAAGCTGAATAATTTCTCTCTTTTAGCTTCACTGACTTATAAAGAAAACATTCAACGTTTATCTGAAGTTGAGTGGAGCTCAGCTTAAAATCTAAGCATAGAACAGGATTTTTCAATGTCAGCTCAGTAACACTATGCTAATGACCAAAACAGACTAAATGCAATGAGGCAAGTAAAAGTCAATCATAACACAAGCATCTGCGCAGCAGCAGTAAAATCTTCACTGTGTTCAACCACATCTGAATATTACTCAGAGGATATTTGTTTACCTGTGTAACAGGTTATAATCCGAGAATTCCCMAATATTCCTGTCAAATAATACGACAAACCCACGTGAATACAGAGCAGTAATTACTATACTGTCCTGTTTGATTATTGTGCCACAAATTATGTTCAGAAATACAGATTTAACAGCTTAATGTTTCAGTAAAAAAACATTTTTTCAAAAAGTATTTTAGCTACTAATGCTAYAGCACCCAGTTGTTTTTTTATCCGTCTCAATACTTTTTCACCACTTCACTTTTTAAAAAAGAAACATCATTTGCCCTGGTAATCCCTGCTCAGAAAGTCGTATCCCTCCTGTTCTAACGTGCTAAAATGTTCTAAATCAGATCAAAACTACAAATTTTACCTTCAAAAACCTAAAGTTTGAAATAAATTCTTCTAACTACTCTGATTTGTATTTCTTTAGTTGTTAAATTGATTTTAAAAGTAATGTTTGTGTCAGTTTGGCTCCATTTATAAAAGCGTTAAATATTATATATTGAAATAAATAAAATGATTCTCAGAGTCAGTGAATGTTTAATTTAAAAAATGCATTTAAATTTACAAATTCTGTTATATCAGGAGAAGCACATTTTTACAAAGTGTGTGTGGGGTTGTTAAGTTAAAAAAGGCAATGTTTCATTTTATACAGACAATCTTTTGTCAGTAACCGTTTAATATTTAAAACTAAACTCTAAAAATAAAACCAGAAGAATATTACCGGTAAGTCTAAAAAGGCAATAAAGTTCACGAGCATCTTTGTTCGATAAAAGTCCCGTGTCGGCTGTAAATCTATATATTACACTGTTCCCTTGCAGCCACACACACAACACACACACACACACGCAGCAATTACACTGCTGTGATTTTCCTCAGGACAAAGAATTTGAATATAAAGACAATTAGCGATTTTATGTTTATTTGATTTCCCCTCACGCTGTCATTATCTACCTCGAACAAAGCAGAGCGTCTGAACAAATGGCCAGCTCTCGTGCTAATTCCAACCAAAGCAAAAAAAAGGATATACATTTGTTTCCACACCATTATATAGTGAGCCGTGCATTTGCTGGGTACAAATGGACGCAATTCATTACAGTTAACAATGACATCCAATTCAGCCCCGCTAATGAACTTCAATACAGTCATGTTCGGTATTAAGGAGTGATTTGTTGAGTCTAAGCGTATCATTTTGGAGGCTAATGTTGATGAATGCCTGGGTGTTAACGGACGGGGGGACACACAGGGAGGAAAGACCATAGAAATGAATACGTAGAGGCCTCGTTGACTGTGTCGGTCCGCTGCTGTGACCAGCTGTGCATCCGCCATATTGGAGGTGGCACCGCTGCACTGTGAACTACTACAAATGAATGGATTTTGTTTCATAATGCACATTTTAACAGAGATTTACGTTAATACGGCACCATCATTTATTCAAACACACACACGTGCTCACGCACACACAATTTGAGAAAAACAGGTACCAAAAACAATGTATTAAAACTTCTTACTGGACTACAAAATACAACTTTATTGATCCCACRCACAATTAATTTATGTTTCATAAGCTGTAAAGGTAGTGTAAAAATTAATTTATGTTACACTTTATATTATCATATGAATGGATTTAGGAAACCTATACAGATTTTTTAAAAAAAGCTAAACACACAGAAACAACAGTCTAACAAAACGTTTGACTGAACTAATTTATTTATTATTTATTTTATCTTCTGAATAAG